CCCAATCAGTTCATTGACGCGGTGGGGTTCAGTCTTTCACACTACGCTCGATAAGACCTTGTAACCTATGCTTAGAAGTCTGATCTCGCGGTAGTTGGCGCGAATGGCGGGGTCACCTTTCTTGTGGATTGGGCAGAGCACACTTAAATTCCAGTCGTCGGGCATGCGTTCATCTGACCATATTCTGCACAAGAGTTGATGCATGCACCTTATCAACTCCTCGCCGCCGTACTTGAATAGCTCAGCTGGCAGGCTGTCAGCTCCAGCGGCTTTGTTGTTTTTCAGCCGCGTTATTGCTATACGTACCTCGTCATAGTCAGGCGGTGGAACATCGACCCCGTCATCATCGACTGCGAGCTCGGGTTCTTCTTCTCCACAACTTTCCGTGCTGCTACCATTTAGTAGGGCGGAAAAGAGTTCCCTCAATAATTTAAGTATGCTCTGGACATCGGTTACTAGGTCGCCGTTATTGCTCTTACAGGATTACGCCCTGGTCTTGAAACCTTCCGTAAGTCGCCTAACTCTCTGGTAAAATTTTCGGGCATTCCTCCTGTCGGCCAGCATTTCAAGCTCTTCGCACTCACGTATTTCTGCCTCTCTCTTCTTGTTGCGGCAAATACGTCTCGCTTCCCTCTTCAGATCCCTATAGCGGTCCCACATAGCGCGCGTTGCGCCCGATCGCAGCGTGGCCCTGTAGGCGGCATCTTTTTTCTCTGCAGCTTCCTGGCACTAGTGATCGTACCAGTTATTCTTTCGGGCTCGCTGAAATCCGACTACTTCTTCGGCGGCGGTACTTAATGAGCGGGAAATGTGGTTCCACTGCTCGCATATGTCGGTTTGTTGAAGANAGCTCTTCACACTCACGTATTTCGGCCTCTCTCTTCTTATTGCGGCAAATACGTCGCGCTTCCCTCTTCAGAACCCTATAGCGGTCCCACATAGCGCGCGTTGCTCCCGATCGCAGTGTGGCCCTTTAGGCGGCATCTTTTTTCTCTGCAGCTTCCTGGCACTAGTGATCGTACCAGTTATTCTTTCGGGCTCGCTGAAATCCGACTACTTCTTCGGCGGCGGTACTTAATGAGCGGGAAGTGTGGTTCCATGCTCGCATATGTCGTTTTGTTGAAGCAGGTGTGAGAGTCGAGAGGCGAAAGCACTGCCTGTCTGTTGTGATTTCAGCTTTCCGACGTTAAGCTTTCCTTGCATATTTGGGCGCACATTTTCTGCTGCACAGAGGCGAGTGCGTATCTTGGCTGCAACAAGATGGTGGTCGGAGTCGATGTTTGGGCCTCGGAGTGTGCGTACGTCTAAAACACTGGAAGGTTTCCTTCCGTCGTGGAAGCTGAATTTTCCGACGGTGTTTCTAAAGATCCCTTCCTTGCCCACCCTGGCATTGAAGTCACCAAGCACGATTTTGATATCATGACGGGGGCAGCGCTCGTACGTGCGCTCCAAGCGCTCATAGAAGAGATCCTTGGATGCCACATCCTTCTCTTCCGTCGGGGCATGGGCGCAGATGAGCGAGATGTTGAAGAATCTTGCTTTGATGCGGATTGCAGGTAGACGCTCTTCCACCGGGGTGAACGACAGTACTCGCCGGACGGAGTCTCTCTCCCACCATAAATCCAACTTAGAATTTGCGCTCCTTTACATGGCAGCTGTAGTAGACGTCGCAAAGCCCCAGACATTGTTTGCCTTGCCCCGTCCAACGCATTTCTTGGATGGCGGTGATGTCAGCTTTTGTCCTTACGAGGACAT